GTGTGTGTGTGTGTGTTTTGCAGGCGATGGACATGGTGCCGCTGCGTGACAACGCCCTGCAGGATGAGCTTAACAAGCAGAACTCCAACGACACACTGAGAGCCAAGTTCGCCACTCAGGCCAACACGGTCGGCGCCTATATACAGGCCAAAATGGAGGTAAGGGATTATCCCACACAGTCCAAGTGGTCACCATTGTGTTGAAGCGGTTAATCTTTGCACAGCTGTGTGCAGTTTGTCACAGTTTTCAGGCCAACATTGTAAAACAATGAGCTCATAGAGTCGACAGGGTTTAGGAGCTTTGATGGTGGGAATGTTCATGCTCTCAGTGTGGAACGACGCAAATCTTCAGAGTTTCAGATAGGTGAACTCATTTGAGCTGGTTTCTAATTCAGCCGTTTTATATTCTTAATTTAATCGCTATGTTCATTCATGATCACTGAGAGTCTTCTGAAGGTTTCACACTGTGATGCTTGCAGTGTGTCCGGAGTCTTAAAAAGTCTAAAATTCGATAATCAGATCATCATCATCAATCATCATCTTAAATATGATTTTGACTGGTCTTTAAACCGAATGGATTAATGAAGTTAGCATTACTTTTATAAACCCTGTACTTGTTTCTGAAATGTATAAACTACACTTGTAGGATTAACAGGATGGTAAACGCTGTGTGTTTGTGCTCGGCAGGAAATCGGCAGGATATCCATTGAGATGAACGGCACTCTGGAGGACCAGCTGACCAACCTGAGGGAGTACCAGAAGACCATCATGTCTTACATGCCCGAAATTAACACGCTGGAGGGATACCACCAGCTCATCCAGGAGGCCCTCATCTTCGACAACCAGTACACATCCTACACAATGGAGGTAACACACACGTCTTAAGCATTTTTACTGGTAATGCCCAAAAAACAATTCAGTTCCACAGACAAAAATGAATGTTTGCAAGTCCAATAAAGTTCATGAAGTCCTACGTTTATTTTGTTTTTCGTTCTAGCTACATGTTGGACAGAAGAAAGCCATTTAAAGACAATTAGAAACTGAGTGTACAAAAGTATTTTTTTTATAAGTTCTGTTGAGAATTACAACACAAAGATTGTTTTATGAACAAGCACATGGAATTAATCAGAATGCTTTCTCTCTTTACTGAAAGATGCTGTGTAACACGTTTCCTCCCCTTGACTTTTTCTCTTCCATTCCCCGCCTCCCTCGCTTCCTCCTCTCTGTGTCCCCGCTTTCCCTCCCTGCAGCACCTCCGTGTGGGTTGGGAGCAGCTGCTGACCACCATCGCCAGAACCATCAATGAGGTGGAGAACCAGATCCTGACGCGTGACGCTAAGGGCATCAGCCAGGAGCAGCTCCAGGAGTACCGCGCCTCCTTCAACCACTTTGACAAGGTCAGGGGCCCGAGCTCTGCGCTCACGGCTTGTTTGTTACACTGGCTGTGTACTTTTTATACTGACTATGTCACAAGTTGCTGTCAGGAGTTTCAGTGCTTGGGTTGGGAGCTAAGTAGACTTATTATAGTTTTGCATTTTTATGTTTATTTAGTTCTAAATTTTAGTTTTCAGTTTAGTTTCAGTGAGTTTCCAGAGAGGTTTTATTATAATATGGGGGGGATTGGTTGAGATTTAAGTTCAGAATAGGTATTATTACAATTCAAACAGACACTTTGTGAATGCAGTTAACTCAGTCCCAGTCTCAATAAACCACCAATGCAATAAGTACACAATATAATTTCAGTTAGTTTTTATTTTAGTTCACTAAATGTTTTATATTATAGTATTATATTAAAGTCAGAAGCACACTGTGTTTTTTTACCATTACATACAGCATGAACCTGGCATAGAGCAGTACATATTTAGTCATGCTTGTCACTTCTTCAGTAAATGCACAGATACGTGCCAACATATGCACCATAACACGCAAGGAAAAGACCACCTTTAGTGCTCAACCCAAATACTTAATTTTTTTATTACTTTATCATTCATGGCATATACAGTATACATTGGTTTATATAGTATTACTGTTGTAAATTATTTGATTGTTTCTGCACTGATGTATAACATGACTGAATGAATGTTTAGACCTTACAAGGGGGTGAGAGAGGAGCCAAACGTGTGAGTATTCATCGTGCTGTTTTCCACAGGCGAGCACATGTTGGGAGGAGGTTGTGTTCAGGTGTTAGCAGAGCAGAGAGTATATCGGTGTACACAGGATCTACTGGTGACTGACTTTTATTTTAGCTGACAGCTGAGAATGACTACATGATTCAGAACAACAACATTTTTTTTGTAAATCTGTTGTAGGTTAAGTATGTTGTGCTTTGCCTTGTGCACAATGTTTTTCAGTGAGAAATTCCCCCTGGTTATGCAAACTCACACTTTGATCTGAATATGAATTCATCTGCATGTTAACGGCAGTTGACATTTTATTTGTAGTTTAGGACGACCAACGCTTCGTTGGATGTAAAAAGCACAATATGTCTCCAAACGTCTGTGTGTTGTGCTCGCTGTCAGTCAGACCTGATTATTTAGAGCCTCTTGAACCTCATAAGGATGAGACGGACACCATCATCGCTCACCATATCACACCACTGTGTGTGTGTGTGTGTGTGTGTGTGTCACTGTGTGTCACTGATTCATGCTATTGTCTGACACAGTGCTTCATAAACACTCCAGGACTCTGCCCCTCATCCCTGTGGTCTCTCACCCATCCAGCTGTGTGTGTTCACTCAAAGGTCTTTTATCACAGTAGCGTGTCTGAGCACGCAACACATCTTGTGTTCTTTCACAACACTAGAACCTTTTGAAAATCTCCACACGTTACGTTATGTCTTCTTTTGCCCAAAGATATTCAGTGTCCTGTCACTGAGCACTAAAGAAACCAGAAAATAGAGAAGTTGAAATTAGAGAATTTGGACCTTTTTTGCACGTCTGCACTACACAGATATTTGGTGCTTGAATGTTTCAGCTTTCAGAAATATTCATGTGGAGCCAGTGTTAAAATGCTGAATGTATTAACTTCTGTGTTATTGATCAGAAAAACTAGAGTTTAATTTAATGTAAATGTTTCTGAAAACACATTTGAATGCATTTTTATAAATAATTCGAGATGTGTTGCCTCATACACAGATTGTTGGGTGTGTAAGGTCTTCCCGGGTCCTTCAAGGCCACCTGTTGAGCTGTGTGTGTTTACATTGTCTAAACATCCGTGAATTGTCTGTCTGTCTGTCTGTCTGTCCCTCCATCCTCCATGTGTTCATCTCCTTGCATGCTGTGGATTGCATGGTCACCATCCGCCACCGTCCCCTGTGTTGCGATCGGTTCATCCTCGTGACGTGGCGCTCTGTCATTTGGTGTTTGGCCGATCTCAGGACCACAGCGGGGCCCTGATGGCCGAGGAGTTCAAGGCCTGTTTGATCAGTCTGGGCTACGATGTGGAGAACGACAAGCAGGTAGGAGCTCCAGGACAGCTCGGAGGGAAAGGTGGTGTTTGTCAGGCCTCTGAGCAGGAGAGCAGAGCCGAGATCACTGCCAGTCACAGTCAGCCCGTCACAATCTGCCTAAAGCTACTGAGATTTATATTGATATATAAATCATCAGCTACTATTGATTGTTTAATCTCTTACATGGATGATGTAGAAAATGCCTTCATGCACTACCGCTTCCACTGTGGGGCGCCAAAGTCAGACATCTTCAACAGACTAACTTAAAATCATGTATCAGTGAAAAATGTTTAACATTATATATATATTTAATAATTTACAAATCATTGTAGCACCTGGTTTTTGCCATTTAAATGAAAAATGTGTTCAGGAAGGTCTTTTAAAAATGTCCAATATCACCTGGAAAAGTTCTTTCTTATAAAGATTGTGTTATTTAATACAGTTAAACTTGAATTCATGTAGGCTGTTTCTGGGTACATCATTAACAGTTTGTTCCACCACATTTTGAATTATTTGTCTCTAAATTCACCTTGAACGCAGCTTTCAAATGGAAACAAGAAAATTAATCTTTATTTAATGAGGCAGGCTCGTTGAGATTAAGATCTCCTGAAATCTCTGTTTTCAAAAGCAAGACAAAACAGCTGTGTTGTAGATAAAATTGGGTTACCGATTTTCAGATTAAAAAAAACAATTCCCAGGCAAAATGGTTCATTTCAGTCATAAAGGAAATCTCCACTTTGCCAAAAGACAACCAGGAGGACATTAATTCTGTCTGAATGTATGCTAGAAATGATCGTTTTGGTGCCTTCCTGCATGCACAGCAGTCATTACATCACCATTTCCCTGCTGTATTTAGATTATAGATGATGCTAATCCGACAAACTTAGTACTGAATATTCTGTTGTGAAGCCAGTTGTTATAAGAACGGTTGAGTGATCAGTCCGCGCTCCTGCTCGAGGCTCTCATAAGCTCCGAGGTCAGACAGGGTTCAGTCCGTCGGCATGGAGAGCAGTGAGGTGTTTGGTCTCTGTTTGTCCACCGGGGGTCTCTGTTGCTTTGTGCTGCTTCAGCTCGAACAGGCTCCCTCTCACTCTCTGAGCAGACCCCGCCCCTCGTCCGTCTGTCTGTCAGGTTTCAGTTTGCTCCGAGACTTTCGCTGTTAACTGTTTGTGCTTTTTTATCTTTTTTTCACCTCCCCGAACATCAATCACTTTCTATCTGTATTTCTGTTCATCACTCCTCCTTCCCTCGGCTCCTTTCCTTTCCATCTCTGTCTTCTCATCCTTGTCAACTCTCCCCCCCCCGTCTTTGCTGTGCTGTGGCGGCCCACAGAAGCGATCAGGACAGATGGTCTCAGATGATTTCCGGGCTCTACTCATTTCTACAGGAAACAGCCTGGTACTGCTGCTGGCATGGTGCTCTCACAGGGTGTCTGCGGGTCCAACAGCACCCTAATTCAATTTAGTCTGCCAGATTCGAAGCCTTAAATGGCTTGCATATGGAAGAATTGTCATACCATGTTTCAATGCAACCAGAATTTTTCACAGTCTTTGCTTGACTGATAACAACACAAAAAACATGTGACTCAAAAGTTGAGTTTCCAGCGTATTCTGGTGTTAGTGTAATGTCTTATCTGACCTGACACCTGCAGACACCCTGCTCTTCCTCCCTGATCCTCTCGCTGCTCGTCTTATGTTGTCCAATCTGTGTCGCTTTCGTACTTGCTGCACTTCTGCCCCAGTAGGTGATACAGATAAACCATCCAATTTAACTGTTTGTCCTCTGTGTCCTGTCTGTGTTTCCCATTGATATTAACCAGTGTTATATATATATATGCATGTCAAAGTGTGAAATATAAAATATTGGGACCGGCTCGGTCTATATCCCGGTGGTCCTGATGTTTTACACACTTTTAAGAACTGTGTGTCACGTTCTGTGTGTGTCTGCATGTCTGAGTACTAAGTGCTGTCTCTGCTGGGTTAACCTGTTGATTCTCGGTTGCCAGGGCGACAGCGAGTTTTCTCGCATCATGGGCATAGTAGACCCCAACGGCAGCGGCGCCGTCACCTTCCAGGCCTTTATTGACTTCATGTCCAGGGAAACGACCGACACGGACACAGCAGACCAGGTCATCGCCTCCTTCAAGATCCTGGCCGCTGATAAGGTGAGTGTGTG